AGGATTGTGAAATTGTATCAATGTGTATTGTATCAAAGGATGTCAAGTGCTTGACTGCCAGTACTGAACTATGGAATATCAACTAAAACCTCGAGGAAATTTATTTACAACTGAGCAAACTGGAGGTGATGCCACTAGTCCTCAAAATGACCTTTACACTTTGATGAGAAATTATCCCAGCTCCCATGATCCCAAATATGCCTTGGGTTGGAGACACCCAAGGGCATTATATCTGCACTACTGTTTTAATTAGAGTTGATGTTTCCAAAGAAACAACATACCTTCTGCCTGCCAGAGCTAACAGGAATCTTTTGTAGGTCCAGGCATGCTTAAACTGAAAACAAAGGCAGTCTAGCAACTGATTTTTGGAAATAAAAGTGGAGAGGAGAAGCCCAAAAGTGATAGAATATAAATTGTGAGGACACCTAACTGTGAAGGTGGCCTTCAGGTGTTCCAGTAACTCGGTCATCCTGGAAGTGGAAAGATGGACAATGTCACCAGCCTGGTGTCTGCTGCTGTCGACTGTGCAGGTTTCTTCCTCTTTTATCTACAAAAGAGATTTTCTGCCTGTTTCCTTTGATTCTGTCTCTCTCCCTCACTCTCTCTCTCTCACACATCTGTTTTAGTCCCAGTCTGATCTTCACTGCCATTCATTGTCACTGTAATAAGTTGGGCCCAAGCCCCTTCCTTGAGAAATGAGGGAAGCAATGCTATTCCTAGATGTGTCTGTCTGATAAGATGGGCAGCACTATTTTGCCTTGTACCTTTAAAGCACTCAATTGTGCTTAAATGACTCCAGATGATCAGAATTAACCAGGAGAACTACAAAGCTCCAAAGGTCATATAACAAAGCAAGTCTTTGCTGTATGTATGCCTCACAAAACTTACAGACTTCACTGTGCTCTGAGCTCTTCAGGAGAGCTGCACATCCAGTTTAATGATGCCAGCAGCAGGTTCAGCATTAGAACTCAGTGGTGAAGGAGGAACGCCAGGATAGCTCCAGCTGAATTTCTGTGGAAATATTTCCTGAGCGATCAGGGTTGTTACAGTCACTGTTTCCATCTTCTACAGATATCTAGGGTTTCTTTTAAGCTTTCACTGAAACATAGAAATTATTTGCAAGGAAGATAAATAGGACAAAAGCATGATTTCTTCCAAAAGTGTTTGGTACATTCAAGGCTCAGGTAGGAGGTTGCTGACAGAATTCCACTGCCGTGCAAACAATATAATCACATATGGGAAAAGCTCTTATGAAAAATCCTGCTGAAAAATGTTTAGCAAGAAGTTTAACAGCAATTCCTTGCTCAGCCTAATTAGAAAATGGGAAAATGGGAACACATTGGAACCAAAGAATATTACAATTTATTTGAGAATATAGAAATTTATTATCAATTATGGATGGAGTAGGAAGATCAGAATTAGCAAGCTTAGCTAACATGTCCTGTCAGCTATTAGTTTCTCTGTTAAATAGTGATAGGACTGAATAATAATTAGGTCCTGATCTTAAAACTGAGATGTAGAGTTCCCTCACAGGCTCAGAGCTGAGATACTTAGATCGATTACTAGTACCCAGACTTTTACAAGCATTTTTTAGGGAACTTGGCTTGGAGGGTCCCTGGAAATTAGATCTGTGATTTATAATGAACTACCCACAGACATTCAGATTCCATTATGGTAAGAGTTTGTTTTCTCCAGTGGATAACCAAGGAAGAGTCCTATCCTGGTAAGGGTTGCACTGGAAGGAAGATGGGAGCAGACTCATATACAATGTGGTATTTCAAGAAGTATGGCAGGAAGGGAGAGGCTTTAATATATAAGCATAAAGCCACAAAGATTAGACCAAGAAATGCAAAACTGCTCCAGAGGAGAAAAGCCCAGTCTGTCAGTGTTATTCAGTGTAATAACGCACAGAAGGAACACATTAATTGAAACCTTGATTCAATTGTCAATACTCACAAGAGGTGGATGGGAGCAACAAGACTAGTTAATGTCCCCTTAAACTGCCAGAATAACTTCTTTAAAACCCTGCAAACCCACAAACATTAAATCCCTGGTGACTTGGCATACTACACCGCCAGGCTGTCTGAGCACAGGCTGAGAATGATCAATTACAAGCCTTGTGACTCAAGTAATGAATCTTGTCTCAAGCCTGTAAAGTAAACTTCAAAAGGAGAAGGGTTCTTTTGCTAATTTTTGGAGCCCTGAACGATTTTTCAACAAAACCCAGGCACTCTAAAATGACTTTCATTTGCAGTCCTCCCAGGTCTCGGTGAAAGGGAAACCAGACCTTGGGTGCATTTTGAGTGTTCCTGTTTATAAGGTGAAAAAGCTGCTGCTCAGTTACTTCAGCAGAGGGGATCCAGCTGAAGGAGCCAACTAGAGGGAAATTTCTAGGCTTTTAGAAGTTGTTGCTGGAATTTAGGAGCAAAATGTTTCTAATTGTGGCTTCTGTGGGATGAAATGACTGATGAAGCAGTGTATTTGGAAGATGTGGCCAAATCCAAAGCAACCACTTTCTGTAGCATGGCTGGATGACAACAGCTTTTGTTGTAGCCGAGGAAAACAGTGGTTTAGAAATGCCCAGAGCTGTTTACAAAGGAAGAAAACCAGCTTCAGATAACTTTTAGAAATGGCCCCTTTTATACTGTCGTGGGCATGAAATGTAGATATCACTCAAGATCATGCCTGAAGACCCTTCAGCAAGAAGGCACCGAGTACTGCAGGCACAGGACTACGTCCTGTCACTTTTGGAATCTTTGGTGGAAGTTTCCAAGAAGGCCATCAGAATAGATTCAGCAAACATCTCAGTAATTTAAAATATTAATGGTGAACATGTGTTGTAACTGCAGCTAATTAAGCATTGATAAAAGAATCTGAGCATAAACAATTACAGAGTCCCTGGAATATTTCCTAAGTAGCACCAACAATAGCAGCTCTGCCATACACAGACTGAGCCGGCCTGCAGGAATGAGTGGTGTCTGAGTCTTCTCCGTGGGTTTGTGGTGATGATTCCTGCTCTTTCCAGAGCCAGCTGCTGGGAGAGAACTCTGCTGCAGTGACTGCGCTCTGAGCTTGGTTCTTGGAGCAGTGATTTCCCAGGGGATGCTCTTAACCCTTTTGTAAGGATTAGGGCTGGATTATGATGGCAAAAGTGGAGTAAAGACAGCGATAGCATGGGAAGGAGTATTTGATGTGTGTTCACCCAACACAGGGTATGAATGGGCAGGGTTGTGACATTGTGATTGCAGGTGTGATTACCACTTGCAGAGGGAAGGTTGGTTGTGACTCTCAGGGGCTTCCTAACAGCACAGCAGTGATTGCAGGACCCTTTCAGGGACGCTCCTGGGAAGAAGTAGGAAGCTTGAACAGCATATGATACCCTGAGCAAACTGGATTGATGATAGTGTTTTTAAAATAAAAATAGAGAGTACTTTTGAAAAAAATCACTTAAATGTCTGATCTGAGCCTCTTGTTTCTCAGCCAATGACTGCTATTAGTCACTTAAACTCTTGTTTCAGTGCTTACAGGGTGGCTCCACTGCTCTCCCACACTGAGGGTTATGGTTTAAAAGATGGACAAGGTGTCAACATTCCCATGTGTTCGGTGTTACAGAGGGAAGGTGAAAATCAGTAGTCCTTGAATGTCATGTTCTTGCCCAGGGGCCTGTGTGGGACATAAAAATACCATGCTGAAAACTCTTTGGAAATGAAACTTTGGTTGGAGGCAACACTTGTGCTGGAGAGAGCTCAGTGTTATGGTGAACTGCTGCACCTCTGCAGATTGGGAGGGAAGGGGGATGAAGGATCAGGGAATATATGGAAACATCTTCCCAGTGTTGTCTGTCTGAACCCTTGGGGAGTAGAGCACAGTACTTGGCCCAGGTTTGCTTGTGTTTCATGGAATGGGGGTGCTGGAGCAAAGGTGATGTTGGGATGATCTTACCACTGAGACTAACTGGAAGAGAACCAGAAACTGATGTTAAATTTTTTATATTCTAGGTTATGCCAAGAAAAATATTTTACACTTAGCTTAATATCATAATTGCAAGTCCAAAACCATCACTGCTAGCTTCTAAATACAGAATAGAATCTGGGAGGAGGCAGTAAGAAAATATATGTTTTGGCTTCATGATTGCAGCAGAGAAAAAGCCAGAATTCATCACGGGCTTGGACAAAACCAGAAGTCTTAAAAGGAATAATACTTCTAAGTGGTCTTCAGACATTCAAATGCCTAAAGAGCCTATAAACCACATAATGTTAGCTGTAACACAGATGGCCACTACACTTTGAGCCATTTAAGCTGCTCTTTTTGCAGTCAGTGAAGCACCGATTTTACACTTTCGGAACACAGTGTAAAAACTTCAGTAATGGATATTCCCATGAATACAAAAGGAAGATTTTCAGTATGTGCCCCTGCCTCTGAACTTGCAATACTACTGGTGTCACTTCATGACTGGGGTCATTCCATGCCTGTGCACTGTGACTCCAGTCTTGCATGGGGCCACCAGGACAAGTGGAGAACCTTTGGATGATTCTCTCCATTCTGTGCCCTCATCAACAGAAGATGTCTGTGAAAGCATTGGGCTTTCAGTTCAGCTTGATGTTTGGTCTTCAAGTAGTACAACCACTGATCATGCATTTAGGTACAACCACAGAATCTGTGTTTCTGAATAAATCTGAATTTCATGGTTGACACATCTTGCTCACATACAATTTCATCCCTGAAAAAGATCTCCATGTAACTGTGGCATTTCCACCAAGCCATGGGAGGGAAAGCAGTGTGGACTGCTTACAGGGAGGCACCTTTTCCTTTACCTCACTGCAGTAAAAGGCAAAAAGCTATAGTGAATACACTTCCCAAGGCTGTTAAAGAACACAGAAACAATCAATTTTCACAGATTAAGAGAAATCTGGAGACTAAAGAAACTATTTTCTCCTCTACCAAAAAAGATTTCTCAGAAAAAACCAAACTCAGCCTATGCTTATGCTGAAGAGAGACTTGATCAACTGCAATACGAATCAAAGGCTGGGGGGAAGTTCTCTCCAGGGTCCTGTCTGGTTACAGCTCAAATTGCAAGAACAGTCATGAAAGTGACAGTGATTCGTGATTTCACCTTAAAGCAGAGATTAAAGTGAGATCAGCAATAAGACCTCATCTCCTACTTGATTGCTCTGTACCTAAGGCTCTGCAGGCAAAACCCCTGACTCGTGTAACTGAACACTCCAGAATATCCCTGCAGCTGGCTGAAGGAGAACCAACTGCAGAACCTTGTTGTGCAAGGAAATTACAGAAGAAATTCTATGAATTTTTGGAAAGACAGATACTATCTCTAACACAATTTGCATTAATCTTGAAAAACCAGTTGAGAACTGCCCGAGCTTAATTGGAAACAGGTAATTAATGTGGGTAGTCTGATCTACCTGGGATGGTTTAGAGCTAAATCTGTGTTTGGACTGAATTATGTCATATCCACTTTAATATCCCAAAACTGACTTGGCATCTTCATCTCTTCTGGTAAATTCTGGTGCTATGGCAGGTGTGCAGACCTGTCCTGGCTGACCAAACCTGAATAGTCATCTGCACTATTTGGGGACCACTGACGTGACTAAACCTATGACATTTGTTTTTTTCCTTTTGCCTTAGCCTGCTTCTCTGATCTAACAAAGGAAATATTTCCTTTCTAAGGAAAAAAATCACCCTTGTTAAGAATGCCTGCATTAAGTCAGAAACTTAAGAAAGGTACTTGAGGTAACAGCAGCAATTCCTGGTTTGTTCAGATTTTTTTTCTTACATATTTTGTGAAATACTGAAATCTAAAATCTCCCTTCCATAGGTAAGTGAATGATGTTGCCACTTGACCTCTACTGGTGTCCCAGGTAACTTGTTAGCACACACAGATGCAATACTGGCTTTACTTCAGCAAATAAGGCAGCTTTTGTTCCTTAAGAAGTTTTTGATGGAATTGGACACAGTAGTAAGACAGCAATCTTTTGTGTTAGCAGGGAGCCACTACCATTCCCGAGTTCTTGGAATGGGACACTGGATTATAGGCACTCCTTGCTCAAGAAATCAGAGCACAGAATTATATGTGTGTTAAACTCAGGTACTCGAGTATTGCCCAGTCTTTTCTATGTTCCACAAGAGAAAGGGTTCATAAGGGGAAAGAGCTTGATGACATGTTTTAAGAGATCCTTTTCTTTCCATATCACTGGAAGATGCAGATGTCAACTTCACAGAATATGATTTGTCAAAATGAAACTCTTGTAACTTCTGTGTTCACAAGAAAAACCTAGATGAGGTTATGTAACATCATGGAATGGTTTAGCCTGGAAGGGATGGAAAACATCCTACCCTAGGCAGGGACATGTGCCCCAAGAACAGGTTGTTCAAAGCCTAGAACAGCCTGTTCAGCCTGGCCTCAAATACTTCCAGGGATGGGGCAACCACAACTTTTGGGGGAAACCTCCTCCAGTGCCTCACCAGCATCATAGTGAAGATTTTTTTGGTAGTATCTAATCATGATCATAATATAATCATAATCATGATCACTGATGTTGCACTTTGAGCTGTTCAGTCAATCCCTACAACAGAAGAGGTATTTCACAGCAGCTGAACATGTAACAATGCACATTTATAATGCCCATATATGAGAAATTTTATATTTCATTAAGTTGCCATAGCTCTGATTGACATATGGGAGTACAAAACAAAGGACCATTTAAAACAAGTCTCCTCCTTCCTGTCTCTTCTTCTATGTTTCTCCTCCTTGGACGCAGACACACATTTCAAACCTGCTCCTGTGTCATTATGCCTTAGAGTGTTTTCCAGTAGTTATCTCCTGCTTCCATAGATCTGACTTTGTGAAGGCAAACAGGAAACAAGTAAGATGGTGAAATGTCTTTGTCCACTGAGGTAGAAGTGAATGTCAGTTCTCTCAAAACACGAGCAACATGCTTGGGCAACCTGACACCGCAACTGCCTTACCACACTGCAATTAGCTTTGGTCAGGAAGAATACCCTCCTTCAAATGGAGAAAGTCTTGGCTGCAAGGAGAAAATTGAATGAACTGTCTACTAGTGAATATTCTTTCCATCTTTTTTCAGGTTTCTTGTGGGTTCTAAAGATTAGAAATTATTGTAGCTCAATGTTTAAATGTTTAAAACTTTCTTAGCTTCTACACTGGAACTGCTTGTAAATACTTAATTAAAACCTGTTCACTTTCATACTATCAACCTTATTTTGAATCTAAGCACAAGTATGGAGAATACTGAGAAATCCAGGCCAAGCCTTAAAAGCATTCTAAATGACTGAAGTCACTATTTAGTCTAACTTTCCTTTTTCAAAGCAGGAGTGCCAGTTGGCATCTTCTGTAGTGTGTGTTCTCTTCATACCTTTCTATGACTCAGTTACCAGTAACTAAAATAATCACAAAGCTGCTCCCCAGCACAATGCATGGACAGTGTCCTAACTTTAAAATGTGTCCACCCCAGCAGATAACCATGAGGGATTTTTCTCCTGCATAGAAACAGACAACAAAAGAGTGCCAGGAAGGACAACGTTTTCTAGGAAAAAAAATAATAGGCAATTCTGCAGAAAAAGCAGTCTTAAACTCAGGTCTTTATACTGCTGTTCCTTTTCTAAAGGTATTTTCCCTGAAAAACAGCTCTGAAGCATTGCTGAGACTATAAGAGACACAGAATGGTAACAATGGTACCTTCCTCTACCTGTAACTTAAACACTTACATTATGCATATTCTTGAGACTGAGATGTGGAAAAGCCTGTCAGTGAGAACAGCAGACTGGAATCATTCTCTGCTCCATTCCCATTCCTGTGATAGCAAATTTGGGTGATTCTGTCCAGACTCTCTGTATTAATGTCCAAGAGATGCTTTGACACCTCAACAACTCTAGAATTTCCCTGCCTTCCTCAGGCTGTATATTCTGGTGCTTTCCTAACTGTACTGACTGGCCAGCTTTTAGCTAAAGGCTCATTTGTCTCCTCTGTGTCAGCTCTGCTGCTTCTGTTCCTCAGCATGTTTCTGCTCTGCGTTTATCCACCAGTACTACTATTCCCTTTTACTTTAGATAAAAAGCAAACATTTGTGAAAAGCATGCTCTGCTTTTCTAGATTCTAACAGAATTGTAGAAAGCAATGGAACTTCGATGATCTTTTTCTTGCCCTTGTCTGGACACTCCATCAACTTCTTTCTTCGAGTACAGTGCTCCAAAGAGAAAATAGTTTTATCAGTGGTGAGTAAAAAAAGATTGCTTCATATATTTCATAGGACATATCAAACACTAAAAATCCCATATTGATGGTTGCCTTTGTTTTTGGAATAGAATGATCCTGACTTAACAACTGTAACTCTTAGTATTCCTGCAGAACTGCTCTGTAACTAGCTCCTCCTTGGCCTCTACCTGTGGAACCTCTTGCTCATGTACAGCACCTTACAATAGTTCTTTGGGGAAGGAAAAAAACCCACAAGTAAACAAGTACATTTAATTTTGCAAGTAAAGAGTATAAAACAAAGTCCTAATTAAAAAAGCCATTTCTATTTTATATAAAAAGCCAGTTATTTCAAGTTGTACACATCAAGGGGAGCAGCACCACAGCCTAATGAGAAACAAATTCTATCCATAATTGAAACAGCTAGGAACAAGTTGTTAATACAAGTTGTATACAAATATACATATCAGTACCATACTTAATATACTTCAGAAAAAAATCATCCAAATAGCTATAGCCCATTTTGCTTTCTCATACTCATTGTTTCCTAATGTTACTCTGCAGAGTCCTTTGTAACCTGGCTATGTTGGCATCCAAGGCTGCTAAGCTATTTTTAAAGTCTTCTTCATCTCGAGAAGTAAATGTTGAGAAAGAAGATGCACTCCAGTCAGACCTCCCTGAGAAATCATCAAATGAAATGCAACTAAAATCAGCTGCTTTACTGCCTGTTTTTTGAGAAATCCCTGTTGGAAATGGCATCGATGCACGAGGGTATGGACCAGGCTGAGGCTGGTCTGGTTTATCCATGAAATCTTTTGCAGCCCCACTTGGAATGCTTCTTGGTCTCACTTGGACTTTGTCTCCTTCTGGCTTTGCTTTATCCCCCGTAACTTCAAGCGTGTTTTCCACACTGTTTTTCACACTGTATCCAGCATTTAATTTATTCAGTAGAGCTGGATCCTCACATCCATACTGCTGCACAGAGCTTGGAAACTCACAGTGGTAATCCAGCCTCTGACAAGCCCCTCTGCTCTGGGGTAGCACACTGCTTCTTCCAGAGACTGACTGCTGTTTTTTAGAGGCACTGCTAGTTAGTGGAATATAAATTGTCTCATCCAACTTGGTTTGATCATCTAGTAAAGTTCCAGAATCACTCCCTGTTTCTGCATCTTGCTTCAATGGAGCTGGTGGTCCTTTGGGAGCTGAAGTTCGTTCTTCTGTGAATGTACTGTTAATTTTACTTCCTTCAGCAGCAAACTTTTCATAGGACAGATTTTGCATTTCTACTTCTCCAATTTTATTTGGGAATTGAAGATCTGTATCTATCAAAATATGATCCATTTCCAATGTTTTAAGGTAAGTCATTACTGAAGTACTCCCAGGGAACAGCTCAGGTTGCATCTGCTTTTCATGGTCTTCCAAAAGAGACTTTGAGAGAGCTTTTTCAGGTTTGGGTCTGACATTGTCCCCTGTGAGGTCAGAAAGAAGCTTGGCCATGCTGCCCTGCAAAGTTCTGTAAGGGTAAAATCAACCAAACAGATTCAAAATCAGTCACTAAAAAATATTAGTTATAAACTTTTCTATAGAAACAAAACATTAGATTTATCGGGCTGTGGCAAAGCTGCAGTGCACTTTCTAGACAGTGTTATAAAATGCAGTACAAATGTGAACCAATTCCAAGTTTTTTGAATTCTTCTTCAGCTCACTGTAGCTAAAAAGTAACAAAAATGGCACAACCCAATGAAGCTCTCCAGATTATTCCTGGTGTACATGCTTTGAGCAGCACAAGATGAAATAAATCAATGCCAAGAAACTGTTACAAAGCAGATAGAAGCAGTTACCAAAATCACTAAGAAAGGTTTTCTAAATAATTCTTCCCATTGCATCGAAATAAAAAAAACCCAAAACATAATAAAATAAAGAATTCTTCTATCTTTCTGCTTTTTCCATCAGAAGAGATGAACGTTTAGATGTTTATGTCTCTGGCATACACACACACGTGTAATGTGACATCATTCTACCACCACCTGGTGGTCAGCACAGCAGTCACAGAAGTGTCTAACATTCTCCTGAAGAATTTGAATTGTCTATTCAAAATATTCTGCTGTTTCAATCAGTCCCAACTATAAATATGACAGACAAAAGCTTTGTTTCCTCTTCAAGACATATCCAAAGCAATTATATACACACCGCTATGCATCTGCAAAAAGCTATTTGTTTCTCCCAGCCTGCCACTATTTTCAGCATAAAAGAGCAAGATGAAGTAAATTCAGAGCAATAGTTCTTACTGGCAGATCTGCTATTAGGAGTTAAGACTTCACATAAGTTATGGCAGATAGTATTTTACTTTACCACAGAACTCAAGTCACGGAATATGACAACTCTGTTTTAAAACAAAATTATAGCACCATTGTAACCAAAAGAACTGCAAGAAGAAGTTTTAGTTTATGAGACCTCTTACCACCAAGATACTAAGAGTACAATAATCCACAGGATGAAAAAAAAAAACCCCAAAACCTCAAGGAATAAGAAAGAAAAACAATGCCAGGAGGTCAAAAAAACCCAAAAAAACAAAAAACCAAAAAACTTAGCCAATAGTACCTGGTTAATTCCCTCAATCTCTTAACTTCTGCATCACGCTGACGTAATGTTATGCCCAAAATCTTATTTTCTTTCTCTGAAGCTTCCAGCTTAAACTGAAGGCTCTTCACAGTTCCTAATGCCTCTTCCACTTCTGAAATGCCAACAAGAACTTACATAATTATTTCATTTAACTTTTAAAATGCTAAACAAAGAATAACCAAATTGAAAACACGCACCAATCTTTAGCTTGGTGGAATGAATGTCATAATGCTGTTTGTTTTCTAGCAATTCTTCTTCTTTATCTTGAATACCTTTTCCAAGATGTTTATTTTCTTCTTTCTGACTTTCTATTATTTTCAGTAGTTCCTCATTTTTAGCCTGCAGTGAATCAAGGCCTTTCTGCGATTCTTTTAATTGACTCTGGAGCATTATATTCAAGGACTGCAAAGAGACCACTACCAAAAGTAAAACATAAAATGTTTATGTGTTTTGTGTGGTAGCTTGAATTTCTAAACCAAACTAAGTTTTTAAATAATCTTGGTAATATGAATAGATGAATTTTGGTTACAGATAGAAGGGTTTTGGGTTTGTTTTTGTTTTTTTTTTTTGCAGCAAGATAAAGCTCAAGCTTTCTTCTTAATTATTTAATCAATCATCTTCATTTTAAGAGGTACATAAGGAAAAATAACCTGCTTGGCAGCTGAAGAGCCAAATCCTACTATGTGGAGTCCAAAGAAGCCCAACAGTCCATGCAAATGCAGTTGCAGCATTAGACCCACTTAGTTCAGCTATTACTAAAGGCCAAAATACATACATATGTATAAAACTACAGATATATAAATAAAAGTATCTTTTGTAATAAAGATTTAAAAAATATGCCCCTATCAAGCAACATTATTGGTACTTTACATTCATAGCTGCAGCTCTGTCCAGATGTCTTCTCACTGCTTTCTTGTTCCCTAAGTTGCTGGTTTAGTATTCTTAGTCTCCTAAATGCAAATTGTGAAAAAGCACAAGTTCAGTAATATTAGAATACACTCAGAAGGACTGCACTGTAAATTAGTTTGGTGAGAAGTTGCTTTTGAGAATTAAATGCCAGGGAATATTTCAGAAATATAAAGAAGTCTTAATAACACCTTCTTACATTCTGGTACTTCTTCAACACAAAATATCCTTTCCGAGTATCTGGTAAATATCTGAAGTAAATCTGATGTAAATGCTATCCAGTTATGTGAAAACCTCCTGACATGAGAGACACTTCTGCATTTGAGAATAAACTACAAAAAGAATATGAGCAGGCTAACTATATAACTTGATAGTGCAGTTTTTAGAGTGATGCATTGAGGTAACCCATGCTACTAATATACCAAAGTCATGCTGTGTTAATTATTGCTTTTTAGAATATATGGCCCTACCAGCATGCTTTCTAATTCATAAATATTGCAGACAAGAAGGGAAGAGCCTTAACAAAGGCAATTTTAGCCAGACCAGTTAAAGATGCTTTAGATGCAGCTGCAGTAAGCACAGGCTGACAAAGCTCCCCACCTGCGCAGCTGGGCATTTTCACTCCGCAGAGGCTGCAAAGCCAGAGCTATTTCAGCCTGGATATTTGTACTTCCCACTACAGCTGGCAGCAATGATACAGAGTCTTCTATTTCACTCATCAACCTCAGCATTTCTGAGTCACCTGCAAGAAGTGAGGGAAAAAGAGACTCCATAAACCTATAAATCTGTAATTTAACTAGTGTTTTACATGTGATTAAGCAATCTGCAAAGTGATTTAATAGTATCAGGGTTTTTTTCCCTCCAAGAAAACTTCATCTTTAACTCTATTTATTTAAAGTTGTTAAGCTTGAGTATGAAAACTATGCTTCACATCCTCAGTAAAACACAACTCACCATCTCTTCAACCAGCCTTGGTGGGACTGCTACTGCAATCCGTCCACACCAGGAAACTTCTTGGGGAAAGCTCTCTATACGAAACAACCTTTATCGTGCTGACATGATAATATTAAAATATTACAAAAATAAATTAATACTTATCCAGAGTGAATCCTGAAGGATTTACACTTGTGAAAAATCACAGTAAGATGTCAAACATTATCTGACACATACAACTTCCAGAAACTGAAGTGCTCACTCCTTTCATCGAGCTCTTGTGTTATTTGTATGTAATGACTCTACTGCACAATGAAAATGTTCTCACCTTGATCTATTACCAGCGCTCTGAGCTCACCCATAAGATGCTTTATAGTCCTAACTTTATGGGCTGTTTCTTCTGGACTTTCCTTTCTAGATTTTAGAACTTTCCTCACATAACTTGTCTTACAGCTTGTATCTTTCACTGGAGACACGTCAAGTACAGTCAATTCATCTTCTTCACTGACCATGTCCTCACTGTGCTCTTCAGAAGTATCCTCCTCTGTGTCACATGAGCCATCATGTTTTGCTGGACAGTGGTGATGGCCCCTCTGTTCAGTCCTGCCATTCAGGATTTCATTGGATTGTAACAGGGCTTGTATGCACCACATCACATCTGCTTCTTTCATCTGCTGCTCTTGGCTTGGGGCCATCTCTCTGGCAGAGGATGTTGGGATCAAAGCAGGCACTGAAGGGGTTGATGCTCCAGGTGCTGTACAAGGGATCACACCAGGTGGAGCAGTTCCAGACTGTATTTGTGCAGCAGCAGCAGCAACCACTGGGCAAACCGCAGGTCCTCCCATCTCCGGAACACATTCATTGGCACTCTCTACAGGACCACCCTGCATAAAAATATTCTAATTAAACAAAAAATTAACATGATTTTTAATCCTTAGGGAAAAAAACAACAAACAGCACCACCCTTATCTGACTCAACGAAGACTTGTTCATTCTTTGCTAATTATAAGAACAACTACAAATTAATAATGGAATCATTTTCCTGTATAATAAGAATCACTTAAAATGCAAGTCTGATTTAGATTACCTTTATCTTAAATGTTATTGGCAACATTAAAACAGTTCTTTTACAACTGTTCTGTAATGAAAAAAAAAATCAGTAGTTTCTTGAATCCAAGCAGAACAGGGAAGAAAAGAAATATAATGCACAACACTGTTACTTTTCAGTATTTTAAGTAGATGAACTTTAAAGTCAAGGTCCTCACCTTGCTCATCTGCCTGCAGATGGAAGGTAAGTCTACAGTTTTAGACATTCAAGGTGGATTCAAGCCCTTTGCCACATTTCCTGAGGTGGAAGCTGGTATTCTCCATCACCTCTATTCTATACCCTGAAATACACAGGCTTTTTAACATGTGCCTCTAAGATAATGTCTGAAGAAATAATTGCCTTGACCATTGGCAAGGAGACCTCCATATGATATATGAGTTCTTTTCTCAGGAGTTGGTTAATGACCCTAGTGTGCATTACTGAGAATGCAATTAATAGTAATCAATAATTTCCTGCACTTTCCGTTTTTGCTGTCCATTACAGAATTCCCCAGGTAGAAGCAAGCAGCCAGCTGAAATGCCCCTAATTTCATTTTTTGGTATCTACATAAAATGTGTTTTGAATAGCAGTGTTTTATCTATGCATCACTACAGTTTGAAATACACAGTTTTTTTAAAGGAAAATTATTAGGAAAACTGACACAAGGAAATGTATAAATAAATAGGCAGTGCTAATTCAGTGTTTATTGATAGTGAGAATCAAACCTTTACTTACAGAATGAGTGGATAAAGGATTAGCTGAATGCTGCAGGGACCGTGCTGATGTGGAGGTAGGCAGGAATTTCATTACTCTTCTGTGTGGGCTGGCCAGTTATCAGAGACATCTGGGTTTGCACATGCTCATACAGTTTCTGATACACCCCAGGAGAGTGTTCATTGCAAGGCACATGAATTGATTGAACCATCTGATTCTCTGCTGCACTGGAAAGTTCCTTCTCAGTAGGAAGTGTGGTAGATGAGGCAATTTTTCTATTTAATATTGGCACTGTAGAGAAAGAAAGAACAAAGAACTCCAGCTGAAGTTGCCTGTCTTCTTGATCTACACAAACCCATTGTATTGTCTGGCAGATTCTGGAAGACTCTCTTGAAAACAGAAACAAAGATCCTATGGCCCAGGATTCCAGTCAGATTTTGATTCTCCAGCAAATGAATCCATAATTTTTTTTCTTCCAGGTAGAGCAACCTTAACCAGTTGGACAGGCAGCTGCCCTTGAAGGGAGTACAGGGACTTAATCCTACAGAAGGTCAGTTCTAAAATACAATTCTTAAAATCTCTGCTTAGGTATAATTAAAACTCTGTAATTTTACAGTGCTGGGAAGATTATCAGCTACATGTTCACTTCCTACAGTTCCCAAAGGGCATTCTGCTACACAGCTGACTACAGGCCCCACTCACCTACAGGATTAGAAATTGCACAGCAGCAACAGGGTGCAGAGAGGCAGAAATGATAATAAATGAAATACTTCCCCTGGGAGCAACTCAGCTGACAGCACTCCACCTATCTTTCCATTCAAGTAATTTGGCCACTAAACCATTTGAGGTCTTGTTTCTAGCCCCACTTCCCTATTTCCACAAATCCTTCTTTCAGAAAAGCCAGGCTGGACACTGAACTTCAGACCAGTTTCTAGCTGTGGATCCTAAATTGAGACCAAGCACTGCAATGCTTCCTATCCAAGAGACATAGGGAAAGGGTATTATCAGTCTCCTCCATACTTCCTACCAGATAAACCTGATGATGTTGGTACTTGTAAAAAAACTCAACTTTCTTCCTTGTACTTGAAGTTCAAACACTTGTGAACTTCACTAATTGTTTAGTAAACATTTAAGGTTTCTGAAAGGAAATAATACATTATTTTGTGGATCCCACTCTGGATGAACCTGTGACAAATGGCAACTATTATTTGAAGCCTCACTGAATCTCACTAAGCTGAGAAATCTTTCAATGTTGCTTGAATAAAAAAAAATTAAATCAAGCCTAAGAAAGCCCACTTACCAATTTCTTTTTGGACAGGGGCAGGAGTATTGACTCTTTTCAACCCTTTCTTCTTGGAGGTATTTCCTTTGGTTAGAAAAGGCTTGGAAGTAAATTTACAGGTAGCTGTTTTCCCAGGTTGTTTATTGACAGTCTCCCTTCCTAGTATTAATTGAAAGAAAAAGGGCTCAACAAAACAAATCAAGAGGCTATTACAAAACCTAAAAACATAACTTGTGCTTTCAATAGGTACAACCTGTAGCTTCCTTTTTTAAGATATTCTTCAGTAAAGTTGCACAATGGTCAAGTCCATTCTGAATAGTATCAACCTGCACAAAGAGCACTGCAGTCAGTAAATGAGTACCACTGTTTTCTTTCAGTAAACCAAGATGCTGTTTTAGAGCTGTGTACCCCAATCTGACACCTGACAAAGAACAACTCATAACTAAAAAAATGTATCATTGCCCATTTACATGGAATTAAATTAAATTCCATGTTAATTACATGGAAGTTTGCAAACACACAGATTCTGCAAAATAACTAAATTGCACTGTTGCATCCATGTCCATTTGCTGGATTTTACATTAATTACATGTATGTTTTTTATTCTTAGTCCCACGTACAGTTAAACAATTATCTACAGCCTAATTGTATTTTGGAGACAACTGGCTCAGGATTACACAAAACCAGTACTGCAGCACTCACTCAGTGCTACTTCTTGGGCCAGTCCTTGTCCATAAGCAGCTTATCTGTGTTTGCAAAATGTATCCTGTGCCTTGAGGAGATCTGTCAGAGCCAAACACTGCACACAAAGCCCATTTGCTCCTATCTGCAAGATGCAGTACAGACACTCTTGCTTGCCTTGGAGGAGCAATTTCAGGTTATTAATGCAAATTAATCAGGAGCTAAATTAATCTGGCTTTCTTCTGCTACTCAAGGTATTCCAAGTTCCCTTCTCTTTAGATAACAGGGATGACTGTGTTAAAGAGCCACTTAATTACCTGATTGTCAGATTCAGTGGAATAGAATTCTGCATCAGATTGGCATTCTTTCCTTAAGCCAAACCTAAAAAATTGAAATCTACTGTTTATACCACCTCCTTAATGGGAAACAAAGTAAAAAAAAACATCCTTACTTTCATTCAGTAATAGCAAGCAGAAGAGTATTAATTTTATCATGAAACAAAATAACCTTCTCTCTCTGAAAACTTTGCATGGCTGCAACAAACATGTTAAGCAGATAATAACAGCTTATGTCAAAGAAGAATTCAGTCTCCACTCAACAGTCTTACATATAGCTAGTAATTACATAAATTCAGTCTTTCATAAATAAAACATGCAGAGTGAAATCTGTATTTTTATACGTAAAATTTCTATTCAGTTTGTGCCTCTCTGATCATGGGGTACTTAGAACCTTTCAGCTTAAAATGTTTTATATATATATACAAGGATTTTTAGTTCAATTGTCAGGCATGACAAGTATAAGGCTCCCAAATGCTCACAAATACACTCAATTTTAAACATATTAGGAAAAAAGGTCTTACCGATTTCTTCCATTTGTTAGTTTAACTGCTCCTGACAGCCTTCCAGAAGACAGAGCCTGTTGATTACAGAAATACACTTTGATTTGCACAAAGTATTTTCACAGCACTTCAAGACTACTATTGCCCACCACTTTCAAGAACTTTTGCCAAGGTTCAAGGGACATCAGTTCAAAGGAAGTTACAGCTCACAAGTCAAGGGGGCAACTGCTGCCAGTAGAGCCTGAGACTTGTGGGTTTCATTTCACAAAACATACCTTGACAGCAGGATGCTTTGTCAATTTTCACAGCATTCTACAGACACGGACACTTAAGGGCTCTCCAAGAGCTCATGTACAAATGTTTTTCAAATAGAAACCATGCTTGATAAATACAGACCTGAACTGTGGGGATTTTAAGAATCATCTATGGCCAGAGCACACAACACTGAAACACAGTCACAGAATCACAGCATGGGTGAGGCTGGAAGGGACCACAGTGGCTCAAGCAGGGCCATCCCAGAGCACATGGCAGAGGTCTGCATCCTGACCTGTTCCTGAATATCTCCAGTGAGGGAAACTCCACACCCTCTCTGGACAATCTGTTCTTCCTCGTGTTCAGGTGGAACTCCCTGTGCATCGGTTTCTGCCCACCGCCTATTGTGTCTTACTGCTCGGCCTCACCGAGCAGAGCCTGGCTCCATCCTCCGACACCCCCCTTTATTCATACACATCGGGAAGGTCCGCTCTCAGCCATATCCTCCCGAGGCTCAACACCCACAGCCCCTGAAGCCTCTCTAGGAGCTCCACGTCTCTCGGGCAGAGACAGGCCCAGACCCGCACACAGTGCCTCAGGACCACCGTCAGGTGGCTGCGGTGCCAGCCGGCCTCGGCAGGCCCGACCTCGCGCAGGAGTCGTTACACGGACGGCAGGGAGGATTCCCCGACGCCCCCTCACCCCCTCCGAGCACACCCGGGCCCTGGCGAGGAGGCCCCGAACAAGAACCGGCCCCAC